AAAAAAAAAAAGTATTTCAGCCTCCTGCCTCCAGTTCTGCAAAGCAACCCATGAACCAAAAGTGAGTGGCTATAATTTAGCACTTGCTGTCAGAGGACACTGATTAATGAGGAAGGCAGAAGAACATGCTTACAGATAATGATGGGCATTAATGAAAGAAATGGAAACACACATAACCTTGTATCTTATATTATACTTCCTACATAATCATCAGGACAAGACATGTGGAAAGACTGTTCTACGAAGCAAAAGAAAGGATAATAAGTACAGTTATTTCAAAAGTTCAAGTCTTTGGGTTCATAGCTTAAAAAAGAAAAAAAAAATAAACTACTACAGACTCATTCCTGAGATTATATATCATCCAGCTTGAAGTGGAATCAGGCAGACTGGAAATGATCAAATGTCCTGTATTTTAAAAGGAGTGAAAGGGAAATTCAAGAAAATATAGTTGCATTTAATTTAGTTTCATCTTTGTAATGTTTGTTAACTTGTGTTCCATAGGAAGTACTGTGTCCATCAGGACAAATTTATTATAAAGTATTCTTTCTATATGAAGACATTGTCTTTTGTTTTTGAGGTAAATGACTGGGAGATTCAATCAATTGCTATTTCAAAATAATTGGGTTCCAGAATGTTTTGGAGCTGTGAACTTCCAAGAGATAGTGGTACAAAGAGTGTGAGCACCAGCAAAGGTAACTAAAGAAAAGAGGCTCTGGATAAGGCTCAGAAGCTACCCACATGTATTTGAAGGCCTGGCACGTGCAGTCTACTATCTACAGTGGTCCAGTGAGTATAGGCAGAAACTAAAATAGAAAGTTCCAGTGAATCAGACTGTTGCCCCAATAAAGGTTACCCAACATTAGAGATATCCAATAATATGGGACACAAATCACCGAGTTCCTAGTCCTGGAAGGTTATAGCAGACTCTGTCAGGGATTTTGCTGTAATAGGGTCTGGAACCTCCCCGGTGGCACAGGGATTAAAGTCTCAGTGCCATCAAGCTATCACCGGTCACTGTGGCCTGAGTTTGATCCCCGGCCATGGCGATAACCCTCATGGCACAGCAGACCTCTTCTGACCCACCTGCTGCTCCCCTCAGCAGTGTATTTCAGTAGATCCGCCTGTTCTACTCCCCATTCTCTCTTTGGTGAATCCTCTCACCCCTCCTACACCCCAGCTCTTGCATGTATAAATAAATAAAAACAAACCTACAGAATGGGAGAAAATATTTGAAAATCAGATCTGATAAGAGATTAATATCTAAAACATATAGGAAACTCACACAACTCAAAAGAAATAGACAAGATTTAAAAGTGGACAGAGATCCCAATAGATATTTTTCCAAAGACACACAAATGGCTAGTAGGTACGAGAAAAGGTGCTCGGCATCACTAATCACCAAGGAAATGCAAATCAAGTCCACAATAAGATATCCTCTCAAATTTGTTGGAAGAATGATTATCAAAAAGACAAGAAAAAAGTGTTGGTGAGGATGTGGAGAAAAGGGCAGGCTTGTGTGCTGTTGGTGGGGATGTAAACTGGGCAAGCAGTATGGAAAACAGTATGGAAGGGCCTGAAAAATTTAAAGCAGAACTATTATTTGATCCAGCCTTTCTTCTCAGGGCATTTATCAGAAGGAAATGAGATCACTATTTTGAAAACGTATCTGTAAACCCATTACATTGCAGAGTTATTCACAACAGTGAAGACACAGAAACAAACTAAATGTCCATCTATGGAACATAATTCAGCTATTAAAAAAGGAAAAAATGCCTGCTATTTGTAATGGACCCTGAGGGTACTAGACAGAATGCGACAAATATTATATGACCTCACTTAAGCGTGGAGTCTTAAACAAGTCACAGATACACAAGAGCAGACAGACTGGTGGTTGACAGAGGCAGGGGTTGAGGGTGAGCAAACTGAGCCAGAAGGTACAAACTCTCAGAAGATAAATACATCTGGGGGTGCAATGCACAGCCTGGCAACTACAGTCAGCAATACTGTGTGTTATAATTATACTGGAAAGTTGCTAAAGAGTAGCTCATAAAACTTTTTATCACAAGGAAAAAAAAACCACTCAGATGTGTAGCAATGGATGGTAATTAAAGTACTTGTAGTAATTTAGCAATGCATACATAGACAGACTCATTATGATGTATCACTAGAACAATGTTATATGTCAATTACCAATAGAGTCATAAACCAAGAGCCTCATTCAAGCCTTTCAGTTCACACTCATGAGCAGGTGCTGATCTACATGGCTTGTATGAAATTTGCAGTATTGGCCTTGAAACTCAAGGCCCTTATCACACAGATAAGGAAGGTTCTTTGATCTCTCGGGGGGCTACTCCGAGTCTTATGTGTCATTCCTGGGGAAGATGGGGAACTGTCACTCCAGGAGGAAATGATTCAAATGCCGCATTTCTTACCTGGACTTTGGGATCTGCTCCAGCCCCTGCTTCAGGTGTACATGACCAGCTTCATCCACTGAGAGAGAAGCATTATCATTACAATTGATCCTTTAGCTTGTTAGCCTAGTACAGAGCAGGGCAAATGGTACCTTCCTCTATTGAAAAAACCCACATCAACCCTTTCCAGCAAATTCCAACCCCAGCAAGAGGGCTCAACACCTTCACAGTGTATCTTCTCTACTTCCCAACAGGCCAGGCAGTGACCACTGAAGGGATAGCTGAGGTTGACCAGCTGGCTGGCTAGGAGGCTATTTCTAAAATTCGATGGGAGTAACTTTAATGTTCAGTGAGCTCAGCAGGTGTTCTTCAGTTCCCTCCTGGATTTATGACTCCCACCATAATCCTCTGCTTTATTAAGCTATCGGAAAAAAATAAAATCTGTCTGCCAAGATCCTAAAGCAGCGCTGGCAGGCAGCAATATATAAAGGCAGTAATTGGAGGCCGGGGGGAGCAGCTTAGCAGTCTTTGACAGACTGTTCAATATCCTTAGGGAGAAAAATAACACCCTGGAATCAGGGGAGGGAAGGTGGCCTGGAGCCATGCCCCAATTCTGCGTGGGGAGGGACCTCACCTGCATTTCTGTCAGGTAGATGCCTCTTCCATCCTTGGAGAGGTTCCGGAAAGCCCCTAGAATGAAGAGGAGGCCAGAAGTCAGGGTGGGCTGGGGGACGGGGCCCATATATGCACTTGCCTTATGAAGTATTTTCTGGCAAAACTCCCTTCTTTAACTGCGGACTCTCCGGAGCAAGGCTGATGCCCTGGGCTTCCTTTTACCCTCCTAGGGCTTGGTTCTCAATCATGATTCTCACCCCAGGGAGGGCGCAAGGCTTAAATCTGTGCTCAGACCCCACCCCACCTCCATCCCGAGCTCTAAATGGCTTGGGGTTTCATAAGGTATCACTTTAAACAAAGGTGTGCTGCTAAGTCTCCAGGCCTCTGTCCCCAAGGTTGGATTTCTGAAGCCTTGGGAAAGCCCTCCAGCCCCCCACCTCTGACTGTGTATGCACCTCCTTCAGCTGAGTCCCAAATCATTCCCTGGCCGAAGAGTAGGTTTAAACTATCAGCACCGCCTGGAGCGGGAACACAGTTTTAAGTTAACTTCATTCCTGACAGAGGTGCTGAGTAGGGTGATGAGGAAATACGTTAGCTGGGCAGGGGAATGTCCTGGGGAGAAAGGGGGGCGGAGGGAGTCAGGAACCAACCCCGTGACTGAGGCTGACCCAGGCCTGCTTTCCTGTTCTCTCCTGTCTCTTGGCTTCGGGGAGATCTCCAGGGTGTCCCTCTGGTGACACTTACTCGACATGGCTTCCAGCCGCACCAGGAGGCAGGCCAGGTTGGGGAAAGTGACCTTGCCCTTGTTGTCACTGTAGCGGAGGGTCATGAGGTCCAGAAGATCGTTGGTGATGGAGACACCTGCAAGGAAGTCTGGGCCCAGGGTGAGCCAGTGAGTGGAAGGAGGCCGGGACTGGGACTGGCCCTCGCCTTGCCAGGTCTGAGAAACTGTTCAAATGGCCCCTGACTTTCCACTGCCATTTCCTACTCATCCTGCCTTGGGTGCCAGCCCGCCCTGCCTCAGTGTTTTATGGTTCTCTGCCACCTCTTTCTTGCTGATTTTGGACCCCGGTGATATTGTTTTGCAGTCTGGCCAGACACCAAGTCAAGAAAGTCGAGACCCTACTGGATGAGGATGCTGGGGCCTTCCCCACATGCTGATGATCCCCACAGGGGCAAGGGGCTGCCACTATGCAGGGATTTGCTGCCAGTCACCTCTGTCAGGCCTCTTTCTGCAGATGACCTTTGAACCCCCCTTTGCTCCTGATGCACAGCTGCCTTGGGGCCTTAACCACATGCCATGAGTGGCGCCTGGAAGAGGGCAATTCCATCCTAAGCCACACAGGGAACTGGGGAGAGCACAAGTCAGAAGGTGGCCTTAGGTGGGCAGGACAGAGGCCTGGTCATCCTGCACATTTTGCTCTGAGCTCCAGAGAGGCACCAGCACCACAGTGGACAGCAGCCAGTTGACACAGGTGGCTTGGAGCTTTGGTGGGCGAGAAGTCCCCATGCAGCAAGGGGATGCTCCCGCTGACCCATGCAGTGGCCAAAACATCTGGTGTCTCCGGCAGAGTTAACAAAACGTGGGTCTGAGTGGCATCACATAGGCCACATGGTCTCTGGCTGGCCATGTTCTCAAATCACCATCTCTGTCTAGCTCGCCCTGGGCCCTGAAGGCTTGAGAGCTGATTCCAACTATGTTTTATCTTTCTCCCTTTTATTATTCTGGAGTTATTAGTGAGCTCTCCTTTAAAAATGTCATCTTTCAGTGGCTATTCAGTGGTTCACAAAGATGGTCTCCAAAACAGAAGCATCACCTCATAGGGGAACTTGCTAGAAATGCAAATTACTGAACCCATACCCCAGCCATTCTGAATCAGAAGGTTCCAGTGGGGTGAGTCTCATCTATCAGTTCTAACAAGCCTCCAGGGGTGCTGATGTAAGCTCAAGTTGAAGAACCAGCCCTGTGGCATGAAGAATTAAGGGTTGGGGGCTATACCCTAAAGGGGAGCAGCAGCCCAGGCCTCAACTGCCCTCAAGGCGGCCATTCCCTGTCCTAACCTTAGCGTGCTCCAGCGGCCCAGCAGAGGTAATGACTCCTGCCTCCCTGTAGGCAGAGTCCTGGAGGCAGGAGATGACAGAGTGCAAATTCTCGCTGAACTGTGGAAAGCCCCTGTGTCCCACAGTGTTACCCTCATGACCTCAGGGCTGAAGCTAGGCCTATTTGGAGCAGGCAGAGGCTATTTGATTTCATTTAGCCCCAAACGCTCTGTGAAGAAAACACAGCATCCTGCCCGGGGCTAGAATCTTCCTGGCCCCGAGGCTTAGAAGGAAGCAGGTCCCCAGAGACTGGTAGGGGATCCATCATGTGGGGTCATTTTCTGACGATAGCTGCTGTGCGGCTGAGAAAAGGCGATTGAGGACGAAGGTGGAGGCAGCATGGAGTCTGTGGAGCCCAGGGACCCACAGACCACCAGGGAGGGCAGGAGGCTGCGGCTCTGCTCTCTCCCGACTGGCCAGCGGGCGGCGCTGCACCGGCCGCACCTGCCGGTGCCGGGTGTCCCCGACCTCACCCGCCATGGCCCGAGGAACAAAAAGCTTTACCTGCTTTCTGTATGGCCTGGCACAAATCCGAGGTCAGGAAAATTCCGGAGTACTTCTGGATGTTCTGGAAAACACTCTGATATGGGAAAACAAGCAAAGAACCCACGTGAGTCCCAGTGTCCACCTTGAAGACGACTCAGGCTGAGGCGGCGCGGGAAAGCCCTCTCCATCCCCAAGTCTGCACTAACACTCCCCGCCGGCCCCTGCTGCGGGCTGTGGCCTCCCAGCTCAGCCCTCTCCCCTCCCGGCCTCTGTCCCTTTCCCTTCTCACCCCTGGACTGGGCTGCGGGCACCAGAGCGTTGCTGCTGTGGGAGGGGGTGCCGCACCCCCCGAAGAGATATTTTGGACATGTTTCCGACCCAGCGCCGGGCTTAAATCCTGGCCTTGGCATCTGGGAGAGTCACTGACGCTAGGCCTCAGTTTCCCCGTCTAGCGCAGGGCTCATGACAGTATCTACTGCACAGGTGTGTGGCGAGGCGCGAAGCAGCAACACGCATAACGGGCCGAGGAGCAATGCACGGAGCACACCAGCAGTCGCTGGAAGTGGGGGGCGAGGGCCACACTTCCTACCTCTCCTGCCTTGTCAGTCCAGTCCCCGTCATCCGCGTTGAGGGGTGAGGAGCCCCACACCCAGGCCCGTGGTCCCTTGCTTTGGATAAAGCG